GATGCATTTTAAACTGTGAGAATTATTAATTAAATGGAAAATCAGAGTCAGTGCATTCAAAAATAGGTCACAAAAATCACATGAAGTAAGTATGCACAATACAATTATCAGAGTAATTAAAAAGGTGCAATCTCACATAAGCTACAGCATGGATGGACCTGGAGGACACTATGCTAACTGGAATAAATCACTCACAAAAGGACCCTAGTGGCTTCCAGGGTCCAAGGGCAGGGGGAGTGGAGAGTTAGTGTTTAGTGGGTACAGAGTTTCAGTTACTGAAGATGAAAAAGTTCTGGAGATTGGTTGAACACACTTAGCACTATTGAAGTATATACTTAGAACCAGTAAAGACGGTATACCTTGTTATGTGTATTTTACCACAATAAAAAATAAAATAAAAAATACCATCTCTTACCTCTGTACATTTCTCTATTTTTCATCATAGCATTTATCATTACTTGATACTATACTCTTTATACATGTATACATAAATTGCCTATACACTCCCTCACACAATACCTCCAAATATATAAGCTCTGAAGACAGAAATCTCGTTGTGTTGTTCTACTCTCAGGGCTTAGAACAGTGCCTGGAAAATATGGGCACTTAATAAATATCTTACAAATAATTTTTTAGAGGTGCAATCCTTATTTTTTCAAAGGTTTCTTGTTATATTGATTTTAAGGAACACATTTAAGCTTTTTTTTCACTCTCACTAATCTTACTTGTTTAGTCATTAGCTTATAACCATCCTTCTTTAACTCCTAGGGCCAGGTATTAGCAAGTCACTCAACCACAGTTAACCAATAAACAGGATACATAAAAAGCAGTATCTCCAAATAGAACAAATAAAAAGTCCACTGTGAAAATTAATCTAATGACATCACCTATTTCTCTGTTTCAAGTTGTTGCTACTTAGTAGTTTGTAATATACAGGCTGCACATAATTATAAGAACATAAGATATATTAGAAATCACAAACAAAATTGCATTTTGTTTAACTGGATGCTACAGTAATTTTAACTCTCTGAAGTTACCCAACTATAGCTAGACGGCAAAGCTGGGAAAAAATTAATATGTATATAAATCTTGAAACTAGCTCCTAAGATCATTTTTTTAATAACCCATACTGCCACAGGATTTTATCATTTTAAAAATGTCTTTACAGATAAAGTCTAACCTGATCTTCAAAAACACCTTTGACAGTCAGGGCAGGTGATGTTACCCCTATTTAGAGATGAAGATATGAAGTCAGAGAAGCTAAGAGATTGAATCAAGTTTTCATGTGGAGAGCCTGTGCATATATTTGGAAATAATTTTCAGAAGCATAAGAAGCAAGCATTCTTGAAGTGTGTTACAATACAGTTCTTGTAGAAATCCAACCAAGTAATGAGATTGTGTCTACAACCACACAGAAAAACCAATTCCTTGCAGAGGATGGACAATAAAGAGTGATCTTGCCATTTTAATGCAAGAAGCTAAATACACTATCATGGGTGTCACCAAGAGACAACAGCACAGGTCCTGATGCAGCACAGAAATGAAAACATGGAGCCTAGACAGATTTAACAGATGAGAGAATGATGTCTGTCATGAATGTAATGCTCAACTGCAGGAAAATCTATGAGTCTATTATCTAAAACCATGGTTCTCAGATTTTGGATTTCCCAGATAAGTAATACTTCTAAAACATTTAAGTAATAAAATTAGGTTGCAACTGTCTAATTCTTCTGAATGAAATGTTAAAAGATGATAATTTTTCAAATGGCAGTTAACTTTCACTACAAAACTAGGAAATACATATTATCATTATCATCACCCTGTTTTATAGATAAGGCAACCAAGGCTGAGAAAAGGTCGGTAGTCTTCCTCTAGGGCCACGTCCAGCTCCAGATGCAGCCAGAACTCAAATCCAGGCGGTTGGTCCTATAGCCTGTGTTCTCAACTGCTAACTCCAGCTCTGCCACTTACCAGACTATTATTTCATAAATGAAGTGATATTTTAGCACAAACATCAGGTAGCAAATCTGTGTAAGAGTCAGTCCTTCAAATTTATTCTATTTAGCTGTAATAAAACCTCACACTTTCCTGCCACTTTGCTCAGATTTTTGGAAAGGTCATAGCAGACCTCCACTGGCCTGCAGAGCAGTACTTGATAAGCATGATTATGGAGCATTTGGACAGGATGAAATAAAAATGAAACTGAAAGACTTTCAGGGTAGAAATATACAGTGGATCATCTCTTGAGAAAGAGAACAGGAAATGAATCATAGAATTTCATTGTGAAATGATCAAGGTCAACCAGCCAATCCTCTTCTGAATACAGAAATCATCTTTCACAAAGTCAGGTTCTGCTTGAACAAATCAGTCACAAGAAACTCACTATTCATGACTTGGCTCTTGTTAAAACTGCACATGTACCTTGTTCCTCTCCATCCCCTTTCTTAGTTCTCCCTACCATTCTTCATTGGTCGAGCAAGATTCCATAGCCCTTGTAATCCTGATTACTCTCCCAATGGGCACAATCTATTTTGTGTTGCCTCTCTTAAAATACAGAAACCAGAAATAAATACAATAATTATGGGGAGCCTAAACAGCACTGTAGAAAAAGGCGATCACCTCCTTCGACCTGGGCATTTTGCTTTCCTACTGCAACCTAAGATTATATTACAGTTTTTGCTTTATTTTGTTTTGTTTTTGACAGGAGTGGTAAGGCAACAGCATCACAGGGAAAACCAGTACAGTGAAGATTATATTGTAGATTAATTTGCACTGAAGCCAAATTCTCAATCTCTTATTTATATATGTTGCTGCTAAATTTTACTACTCTAACTCCACACCAGCACTCTTGGCTTTTTAAGGCATACAGGATGAATTTACATTTATTCCTACTACTTATCACCCTATTAGATTCATCCACTGTTTAAGCCTGGACAAAGTCCATCTATTGCTGCAGAATGCTTAATCGTCTCACCCAGGTTTATGAGATCCATGACTATCTGAATAATAGTTTGGGACCAACACTAAATTTTTCAGTCTATAATTGTGTTCTTCCCTGTAACTAAGAAATACAGATTATAAACAACACTTACCAATATTACCTGCAGACTGTCTCCAAAACTCAGGTCAACAAAGGGTGAACTATATATCTCTTCCTACAATAAAAAGTCTCATTTGACTTCACTTTCCTCATCCACCAAGCATGCCTTCCTTTCTTATGTCTAACTTTGACTCTCTCACCTAATACTTCCCTCTCTTTTCTAAGGGTGACTCACTCAACTACAGGTTTTTCAAAAATATTCCAGGTCAGTGCATGACACACTACAGTGCTGCACCATCTAGACAGCTGACACGCTAGAGAGCTGCACACTAGAGAGTTGCACCAAGGAAATTATATACTGCCATGCCCAAAACAGGAATTCTTAAAATAAGATTAAAGTGAAATAGTACTAAACTTATTTTTCACAGAGCATGCTTAGAGGTAGCCAGGAACTTATGTGGACCTCACTTTCCCATCTGTAATATGGGCATCACAAGTATCTGCCCTGGAGACTCCACAAGACGATTGTAAAATAACTAGCAGATTTGAAAGCAATTCCTATGTTATAAAATGATATAGCCAGTGTTATATATTGCTATTGTTTGCACTACAACAGATAAGAAATTATTTCACAAACGGAACGAATGTACTCCACACTAAAGAGAGGAAATTATGAGGTTGAAAGAAGACAAGAAGAGAAAGGACGAGAATATTCCTTTCTCCTTAGAACCACCATAGGGGGCTGTAGAAATCACCAATCCAGAATGGTAGTTCTTATTCCAGAGCTTCTGCATGGAAATGCCAGGAGGACACAGGTGTACGATGTACAAAAAGATGTAAGATGTAAAATAGCAAAGTGTAGAGTCTGCTAACACAGGTCTGTCATTGTACTCAATTACACATATCCCCAGAAGAAAAAAATACCTGTTCCCTTTGTAACAAAAATCTTTTTTTTAATAGAATTTTTCCATGAGTACTGAACTTGTGGAAATAAGTATAATCTAAATTGTGGGGAAAAAACCCCGGTGTAACTGGAAAAGTTTGATAATTTCTCCTACTCCTACAAGATGGGTCAGATAGTAGTACTAAAGTATTTTTAAAACTTAAAAAAGAAATGAAACACATTGATAAATGTCTTCTTAAATAATGTTATCTGATTAACTCTATAAAAATTTATGAACCTTCTCATCTCAGCACATAATTCAATACATAAATTCTTCATTTACATAATAAAGAACACTTCAGTATCCCAATATCTTGTTTTTCTCTACTTCCTACCTGAGAGTAGCCACACAGAAACAACACTACAACTTCTAATGAGAGCTTTCTCCAGGTTTTGATTTTTGTATGACTTTACATTTCTCTCTCCATCAACTCTACTTTTATTCAAGTCGCAGTATAGGTTTAGCACAATTTATAAGCTAATAACTTGAAGACTACTTCCTGCCACAAATCAGTCTTGCTTATGTTACAAACGGGCCCATGTCATTGGCCAGCAGATCCTCCATTTAAACACCCATCAATTAAAACACAATTTTAAAGCTATCTCTAAAATGGAGTCTATTATTTCAAAGCCCGTCCAGGCTGTAGGCACATTAACTGAAGATAAAACAAAGGAACCAGAATTAGAAGATCTGACCTATTAGAGGACATCATTAAAGCAGGCAGTTTCTGTGAATGGGGTAATTCCTGTATAAACTTTGTGGTACTCAGAGTAAGAGGCACATTAAGAAGAGGAAAAAGGAGGGAAAGGCAGGCTGAGAGATTCCAAGCTTCAAGGTCACTGGTCCCAAAGCTCAAAAGCTGTTTTCTCACTGATCACAGGCTAAGGGCATTTTCATTCATGACCAGGATGCTGATAGAGCTGGGAGAAGCACGCCAGTCACCTGATCAACCCCAAGGCTGCCAGTCAATGCCCAGAAAGACAGTGATAGTCAGCAGCAGGATTCCTTGTACTCACCGGCACACTTCGTTCTTGTTCTGAGAGCTGGCCCAGGAGAGCCAGTGCCTCCCTCCCCTGGTCTGGTGAGGAGCACGCTAATCTCATATTCTGTATCAGGGTCAAGGTGTCCAATTTTATAACTGGTGGAATCCACTGGCTGCCGGTCATTCCAGCTCCCACTAGCCGTGCAGTACTCCACCTCTCGGGCAACAATGGGCCCATCCCCATTGATGGAGTTGGCGTTGAGCTGTATCCACAGGTATGTGGCTCCCACGGAGGCCAGCTGAGGTGGGGCAATAGGAACAGGTGGTTCTGAAAGGCAACCAGAGAGACGTCTTTCAGATGCTTTTGTCTTTAGCCTTAAAAGAGCTGAACACATATCAATTACTAAAATGTAGACATTAATTTAAGGAATAAATTGATGAGAACAGTTTTGTTCAGATTAATAAGAAAAAGCAAACTGATCAAGGTTTTTCACAAAAATTCAAAGTTGTGAAATAAACTCCTTGAATACTTCAGCTTGTGCAAGTTGGTATACCCCTAATTTGGTTTAGGGTACAACCCATTTTGTACACCATATTCAAATTAGCATATCTGATACTTTAATGGAAAATTAATATAAAAACGTTCTCAGGATAAAATTGCATCAAATCCATGTCTACTTTCAAATACTAGTAACAACATCTTAAATGAGTGAGTTCATTTGAGTGAGTCAGTTATACAGATGCTAAGTGATTTTTTTATCACTAAAAGTAACTGGTGAGGGCATGGGAGAGGTGGGGAAAAAAAGTAACTGGTGAAAGCACTCTCAAGTGGTAGTATTTAAACTTTAGGAAGCATTCCATTGTCAACTGCCTTATTGAAAATGTCTTCAAAATCAAAGGTAATGTTTCCTACATCATTAAATTTAGTTTCCTTATATTTATATTCCAAAGATATCATCACCTTAAAAACATGACTAAAATTATAGCTTATCTCATCATAAATACATTTTTAAGATGACTCGTTTCCTTAAAAACTATCACAATGGACTCATTCTGCTACAAGAGAATTGAGCATTCTAGATAATGAAGTCCACTGTTGCTGCCATTCAGGGAACTTCCAGTAAGTAATAAGTGTTATTAAACCAGCAAATAGAAAGGAAAGCTCTGAAGCAAAGAAAAAGTTATGCTCAACTTGAGAAAACCCTAAATCAATAGCAACACTCTTTACAATCCAAGAAGATCTCTCTGTGTTTAAAGCCTGAGACTAACTCTTTTACTACATCATTGTCAAACTTATCATAAACAGTATTTCCAGTATATTAGTCAGATGCTAGCTGAATGACTCTCCAGGCACAAATGAAGGTATTCCATATGCCAATGTCACTGTGAGTAATACCACATATGATAAACGAGAACATTATACAAAATAACTTATTTCTACCTCAGTGAATTGCCATTTTAGGAAAACATAAGGCCTAGTTATTTTTTTCAAGAATGTTTCCACGGGTGGTTTGTTCCTTTTTTGGCATATTTTGTTTTTAACTCATTTTGCTCATACAAATGCATGGAGAATAAAGCCTGCTATATCCATCCTATTACTAGCATATGCTGGCTTGCTTGCTACAACTTCTGCTGCCCTCTTGCGTGGCAGACATAGCTAATCAATTACAGTTGTGTTTCCTGCTAAACAGGACCTCAGGAAAGCTAGTATCCCTTGTGATATGCACCTGAGAGGATACAAGACTGATTCCTAGACCAACTAAGAAACCGGCAACACTGGTTCCCATTGTTGGGTTAAGGTGTCTTTGTTTGTTTTTAGAGTCAAGCATGACATCATATTAACTTTTTAAAATAGCTGGGGAAATCTCCTTAGATTAAGTCAAAATAAGACACCAAGCCAGGCTCGATGGCTCAGCCTGTAGAATTCCACGCCTTTGGGAGGCTGAGGTGAGTGGATTGCCTGAGCCCGCAGGTTTGAGACCCACCTGGGCAGCGAGACCTCATCTCTATAATAAATCAAAAAATCAGCCAGGTGTGGTAGCACATGCATGTAATTCCGGCTACTCGGAAGGCTGAGGTGGAAGGATCGCCGGAGCCCAGCAGGTTGAGGCTGCGGTGGCCGGGAGCAGCCACAGCACTCCAGTCTGGGCGACCGAGTGAGACTCCAACTCAAAAAAAAAAAAAAAGACACCAAATTTTGAATGAATTTTATTTGAAAGAATACAAACATAACATACATTTACTAAAATATTGTTCCTATTGCTTATAAACTAAAACTTTGTGCTGGTTCTTCATTTATTTAAACAGTTCTGACTTAACTCACAATGACTTAACATCAATTTATGTCATTAGGTGATTACTTGAACCAAGACATGAAATGGGCCTTTTATAGTACCTCCTAAGGCATTTATGTAGTCAGGCTGAAAGAGCAGTTAATTATTTTTAAGCTGCAAATGCTAGCAAGGGTTGTTGAACTGGCAGTCAAAATACAACTCAGTGGCAAAGCCATAAAGGATCCTGAGTACATGCACTCATTTAAGATATTGTTACTAGTATCCTAAAATAGACATAGCTTTAAAGTATTTTTGTACTGAGAATATTTTCTATATACATTCTCCATTAAGAAAAATACCAGATATGTTCAATCAAATGAAAGATTCAACTAAAACCTGTAGACAACTGGGACAGACATTTAAAAGGACTATTAGTTTATGGAAGAATCACCACAAGAATAAGGCAACCACTCAAATTTTGAACAAATTTTTTCCAAAGGATAGAATGAAGGAAAGGAGAGGAAGGAGAAAGGAATCTCAATCTATACAAATAATAACAAGCAATTTAAAATACTTCTTAATTCAAGTTAAAAAACCATAAAACTAATTCTAAATCAAGCCAGTAATGAGAGTACTTATATACATAAGCAAACATATGCATTTATCTAATTGATACACATATGTAAATGCTTAACTGATACATATATGTCAACATCATATTTAATTACATGAAATACCTATTTATATATATACATATAAATAGGAATTATATATATCCAACATAATTAAATGTAGTATTTATATATATGTACATATACATGCATTGTGGAGATTATATAAATATTTTTATGACTGTGGTTACCAAAAGCATGGCAGACAGGATAAAGATGAGAGTGACAGTTAAACAATTAAGGAACTTGGTCTTTATTTAGGGGGCTGGCACCAAATCAGTATGTGACCTTAGGAAAGTCATAAACTCTATGGACTTTAGTTTTTCCCATTTGTAAACATTAGCACTCCAAATGTTACATGGCTTGTAGAAAAGTGTTAAATTTTAGACAAGTAGCCAAAAAATGTTACTTTAAATTTAGTTTAAATGTTAGTTATATTTTAAAATAATTGTCTCAAAGAATGACTTTACAAAACTAATATATGTATAATCTCATTTAAAAATAAAATATAGGTAAGGCTCAGTGGTTCAGCCTGTAATCCCAGCACTTTGGGAGGCCGAAGTGAGTGGATTGTCTGAGCCCACAGGTTTGAGACCAGCCCAGGCAACTTGGCAAGACCTCGTCTCAACAACAAGTAAAAAATGAGTCAGGCATGGTAGTGCACGCCTGTTGTTCCGGCTACTTGGAAGGCTGAGGTGGAAGGATTGCCGGAGCCCAGCAGGACAGTGCTGGGATGGCAGTGAGTGTGCCACTGCACTCCAGTCTGGGTGACTGAGTGAGACTCCAACTCAAAAATAAAAATAAAAATAAATGGCTATAAAATTATAAATGGAGAAAAAGCCAAATTTCATATTTGAGTTCAAAACCGCATGCAAATTATCACCAGCTGTGGCAGTGTCCAGGGATGAAAAGAAGTTCCCTGGACGTTTTTGTCACAATGAGTCAAGATACTAACACACTGTCATAAGACAGAAAAATGTAGTACACAAATGTGAATAAGAACACATTTGTCCTTTGTGTTCATGTTTGTTTTGGTAGACTAGAAATTTCTGATTTACTTGTAACTCCCCCCAAATTAACTCTTCCACAGAGACAGTTTTTAGAGATGCTACTAGATTGCATCGTACTAATTATGAAGCATGATGCCTCAAAAACTGGCTAGTCACAGTGAGGCAGTATAGCAACTGTAATTCAGAAAAGAAAAATTAATGACAAAAATGAAGATGAAAATTAAATAATGGTAGTAATAATAAAGGTGATGATAATGATGAACTCAACAGTGATGAACCAGCTTGTTTGCAAACTACTGTCCATTCTGTGCACTATGATGACTCCCTTTCCAGAGTACCTTCAACAGTGTCTAGTTACACAGCATATAACTAGGAAGAACTTTAGTCTGTTACAGACATTAAGTCTAAATATTAGTCTGACAGGCTAGGTTCAAGTTTCACCACAAACCAAAAGAATCTGTTGGGGCAAAATACATTATTCAAGTAGATATTTCGATGAGCACATATCCTGAACATCAGTCACCACTGCAAATTAATAATTCTCAAAGCAGACTCACCAATAAGCATTTTCTCTCATCAGTTACATGTGATTAATATTGACTGCAGTGATCTCATAACAGAAGTGGATGCCTAACCCAACTATAGGTTTTATAACAGTGGCAACATTCCCAGGAGGTGCTGATTCAATATGGTTATAATGGAGGAAGGAGGGGAGAATACATGGGCAGGGGTTTATGATTTTTAAAATCTGGAAAAATAGTTTTGATATGCATTTCCTAGTGAAGATTACTGATATGCTACTGGGTCAGAGAGACGATCATCCTCATCCTCCTCCCCCTCACCATCATGGACCTGACAACTCACTATGGACACTGTTCTAAGTGCCACACGTACACTTTTTGCATTTGATCTTCTTCATAGCCCTATGAGGTAGATAATATGATTACATTTATCTTGTACATGAGGAGACAGAAGCATAGAGAGGGCAAACCACTAGCCCAGGCCCACATAGCGAGTACTGGGATGTAAACCCAGAAGTCCTTGAAACTGCCTGCATAGAGAAAATTGCTGATAAAAGGAACAGCCTATCCCAAAGAGATCAATTTTATACACATTTAACAAACGCAAAGAAGAAAATGTAAAAGCAGGCAACATTCTGTTCTCCTAAGAAAACCAGCAACGGCCTAATACAAGTTATCTAAAAATGCCTTATGGTACACCTCAAAGTCCAAATTATCCTTTCTGGGACCAAAAATTGTCTTAGCAGCTTAAAACTATAAACTCAGCCCACAAAAAAAGCATTAAACAAACTGAAAGAAACTTATTTCCCCTCCGTACTTTCCCTCATCCCCTACATTCTTGAATATAATGACTCTATTTTTCAGTCATGCAAAATCTTGTAATAGAACCTAACTGGAATATTATGAATGCTAACACAATATTATCAATATGGCTTGTGTGATATGACTGAGCATTTTTATACTGACACTGCTTCATTTTATTAACCACCTTGCTATCATAAATACCCTGGCTGGTGAATATTTACATTTTAAGTGATTTTCTATCAGTAAAAAATTTTATTCCTGAAAAAAATTTATAGGTTATAATCTCTGTATATAGAGTTGGCAGAAGACTTTGCCAAAAGCACATTCACTGCTTTGTATGCAACTAAATCAACATAAATAAAATACATTTTTCAGAAATATTGCTCACATGCAAAATCTGTACTTAAAATGCAATCCATCAAAATGGCCTGTCACCAAACCACTGTTTAGAAAAAAACATGGGTAAGTTTGAGTTTTAAACAAATATTGAACATAACTATTTTGACAGAGTATTTCTGGGTATTAATACACATTAAATACCTTTAACTACCAATTCTGCATAGTTTGATATTCCAACGCCTCCTTCAGTGCGAATCATGCAGCGGTACTTTCCAGCATCTCGTTTTGTCGTATTCACAACATTAAATGAGGCTATGAATCGTCGAGAGCTAGTCACCTTGATTTCCTTTAGAGGAGCATCTCGTACATTGATGCCCTGTATCAATGGGGTTGGGGAAGACAAAGAGAAGCAATATCAGCTGTCACATCAAAACAGTAAGACCCCCGATGGAGTATTAGCAATGTTATTTCCAAGCAGATTTTGGTTCAGTTGTTTATTACTCATGGGCAGTTGTACCATGAAAACAGCTGGTCAGGAAACTGAAATTCTGTCATGAACAACAATTTATTGATTGTGTGATGCGAAATTTAGTGTGCAGAAATGTCTTGCTTTTGCCAGGATGCAAATTAAGTGTGAGGAAATTTCTTGTTTTTGCCTTTTCAAGATATTAATTATGTGAAATTGGTGCAATAGGAGAAAGAAAAAAATATAAGGAAAAATTATTTATCTTGCTCCCAAACTATCAACATTTGGTCTTTTTATAATACTTCATCTTATTTTTTAATGCTTGGCTAGGAAACAGAACTTACTCATTACCCTATTACTGACCTCATTTTATATATGAACTAATATACAATTTATTAAGAATAACATTAAAATGTAAGTTAAGTCTTGGAGTTGAACGGTCCCGGAAGACTAGTTCAACTTTTATGATGTTCTTCTTGAATAGCAAAAACCAAGCAGAAGTAAATACTTAATAACTATTAAGTGATACTGAAATATAACAAGAGAAGTTTCTCCCTACATCCTATATCCTCAGGACTACATAAGGCAGTTTCAAGTGCTGGAGCAGTTTTGTCTTTTACTATTGCCATATACTAAGTAAGTCTTTTAGTTTTACATGCTTGGAAATCCACTCTATGCTTTCAATCCTTTAAAGCCTCAAAAGGAAGCTAGAGATGTCAGTTCTACATATTTGTCATAATTATCAGAAAAGAGGCTGCCTTTAACATACTATTTGTAAGTGTTAGTAGAAAACTATGAACAAAGACCTCAAGGCTAATCAATGATGCCCAAGCACTACGTCCATTATTCACCTAGCAACCATTCTTGGGGTGCCAACCAGGTGCTGTCACTATGTCAAGACACTGTGATCACAGGTGAACAAAAGAAATGTGGTTTCTGTGCTTATGGGGCTTCAGTTGATTGAGGAGTACAGACTTGAAATGAATGCATCATCACAAATGATGGCAAGAGCAGTGAAAGAAAAGATCAGATCACTAGCAGAAATCACACTGTGGGCCAACTGTAGATACAGTGGTCATGGGAGGCCAGTTTGAGGAAGTGACATGTAAGCTGAGATCTAAAGGGTAAGTAAGTGCTAACAAGGCAAAGGGGAAGGATTTGGGGGTGAGGGGGAGCATTTTCACCACAGAAAACAGCACAGGAATCCCAAGAAGGTGAGAAAGAGCTGAAAGCTTTGGATGATGTTAAGGCAGCCAGTGGACCTGGGAGAGGTGGGCACACACCTGTGTCCTCAGCGACTTGCAGGCTGTATTAAAATGTTTGCATATAAAGCTATGAAAATGCTAAGTTACAAAAGAATAAAGCTCACCTGCATTGCTCAATGATTTATATTATGCAAAGTCTTTTAACAGTTTTTATCTATGATATTTTCATTGGCAGTATGTCCTAATGGATATGAGTTGGGAGTCAGCCTGACCAAGGTGCCAAACCTAAAGTGATGGCTCAAGGTGATTTGCCTTGTAGAACCTCATTTTCCCTGTATGTAGAGAGATGATACAACCCACTTTTAGAGCTGTTGTGGGAACTCACAGACAAGTGCAGGAACACTGGCATAATGACTGGCACCATGCTTCCCTGCCCAAGCTGTGGAATGCCTGAGCGATAAATTCAAGGAGAAAAGCAGACAGACTGTCAAAATACCACCTTTCTTTACTGATAAGCCTGAGACACATGGCTTAGGTGTGCAGGAACAATGGACTTGCTAATACTGAAGCACAGAATTAAACAGAACTCACCCACCCAGTCACAGGCCACACAAGGAAACCACAAGGCCTCCCATATGTTGGGTGTGGCTGTAAAACTCACAGGATGAAGGAACAGGGTTCTCATAGGCAGCTAGCTCCCCAAAGAAGGGGCTGAGCTATAGATGCTCAGCACTTCCTCCCAGGCAGCTCCTGCTTGGGCAGTGAAAGGCAGTCAGGAGTGCTGCATCAGTAGAGTTCCTGCCACATGGAAGGAAACATCAGGAGTGGGAAAGAATAGTTCCACCAACATTATCTTTAGTATCATCTGTAAAAACAGTCTTGCTTATCATTTAAAAGTTATAAGTCAGAAAATGAAGTCCCATATGTGTCTGTGTGTATGTTTTTGCTAAATGCTCTACATTTGATCTGACAGACAGCCTCAAGAAGTTAAAAAAAGACAAAACAAAATTTAGCACTATTAATTAATACAACAGGATAACATGTTTCTCTCTGTATTCCACATTCAGTCTCCAATCCTTACCCCTACTCCCAAAATAAATAACCAAATTCTACCACCAGGTGTAATCTTATACTTACTATCTATAAAGTTATACTTATTTTTTGTTTCCAAATTGAAAAGTAAACCCAATCTCTGATTTTGAGGGGCAAAAAAATTAAGCCTTAAAGATAGGCAGATTTCAAAACTGTAAGTATTGGCTTTGTTTAGTAACAACAACCAAAAGGCCATAAGGTTTATCTATCTATTTATTTACTTGCAACATCAATTCTGCAAGACTATATTTTAAAAATAATCCTCTAGTATTTTTCCTAATAGAAGTGCCTCTCAATAGGTTAACAGATGTTCTTTTAACTCTATGCACGCCTAAGAATTTTAAAGGATGCACATACTGACCCCTCACAATTATTCAAAGTTGTACTGAAGACACTCATGTGTAAGAAAGCCTTCTTTTTGGATTTATACACATGTTGAGAGGAGTACTACCCAGAGTTGCTCTGTTTTCATGCCATAGACATACCCTATAAACTAAACAGCCTCTTACTACGGACTCAACACAACTCTAATGAGTCACATATCAGGAATGAGGTTTTTTTAAAAAACTGTAATTCCACACAGGTAATCATAAAGTTAGATTCAGCTTCTTCATGACAAATAGAACGTAGGGAGGAGAAACCAAGTGCTTAAATAGCATCATTTAGATTAGGATCCACACAGGAATAGCAAATCACAAGTCTTCCTCTAATCTCTAGGTCATTTTGGATTAAATCATTCACATGTGCATGGATTCACACATTCATTCAACCAATACTCAGTGATTGTATTTTATGAGATACTCACTCTATCATAAAACAGAGCAAAAAGTTAAAAGAACAACTATTAACCTAGCTGAATTTACAGTCTGGTTAGAAAAACAGACAAGGCAATAATTACAATACCAAGCAATGAAACGTCTCCCACAGCACACAGAGGAAAAGGGGACTGGACTAGGTGTCTTAGTCCATTCTCTGTTGCTTATAACATTATACCTGAAACTGGATAATGTATAAAGAAATACATTTATTTCTTGCAATAATGAAGGTAGAGATGTCCAAGGTTGAGGGGCAGCATCTGATAAGGGCCTTCTTGAAGGTGAGGACACTGCAGGCCTGAGATGGTTCAGGGCATCACAAGGCAGGGAGACTGAGCATGCTAGTTCAAGTATCTCTTTCTCTTCTTAAAAAGTCACCAATCCCATTCCCATGATAACTCATTAATCCATTTGCGAGGACAGAGCTCTCATGACCCAATCACTACTTAAAAGTCCCACATCTCAATACTGCCACATTGAGGATTAAAAGTTCAACATGAGTTTTGGAGGGGACAAATATTCAAACTATAGCACTGGGGATGGTGTCAGTGCAGGTTTTTTAGAATGCACTGCTTGAGCCCAGATTTGAGCATGCACAGGAGTTGCTCAGGCAAAGAAAAAAGAGGAATAGAGTCCAGTGAGTGAGAGGAGTTCTCCAGAGTCAGAAGCCAAGACAGAGTAAAGAACTATAGCGGAAGTATAAGTTACTCCATTTGCTAGATCAGAGGGTTTCTAGGGATGGCAGGTGAGAAGGCTGGAAGGTGAAGCACAACAGAGGACAGAGTATTTTAGGCTAAGGGGTAGAGCAAACTCATCTGTGGGTACAGTAATGGACTAAAGAAAATAGTGTGTGAGCCTACCTTATGTCAAGTGACAGTGGGTAAATATTTTTCAGAAATCATAGTAACAAATGACGAAAAGAGGGATGGCAGACAAATGGAAGGATTCTAAAGATATTTAGGAAACAAAATCAACAAAATATTTATTATAAAGTAGTAAAATCTCTCCTCTATATCAGACTACTAGGTTCTCAAGGTCAAGAATCATATCTCATCAATAGTGTCAAATCATATTTCTCAGGCCACATGGGAATGAGGAAGACATCGTGTTCAAGTTGTTGTCAAGACATCAGGCAACATCTCCTATGATAGCTCTGTGGAGATGAAGAGAGCAAGATGGGATAAGAGTCAAGAAGAATAGGTGGACGAGAAATACGAACGACCAGAGTCGCTGCTGCCTGTCAGCATCAATGCTGAAGTCAGTTTCTGGTGCCTTTGTGCAAGGCAATTTCCTCATTCCTGATTTCCCCAACACATTTACCTTTGATAAAGGTAAACACATTTGCCTTTGATAAAGTCACAGATGTGCTTGTCAAATGTACAGGTGACAATGAACAAGCACAGGGATGAACAAAAAGGGATAAAAAAGATATCTCCAAAGTCAAAAAATGAATGTAAACAAATAAAGATAAACATCAATCAAAAAACATGTAAATCCTATACTTCCTTACAAAATCAGACAAGTGGCTAACGCGAGTACAACTCAGGAACACCGTCATCATTAAAAGGAGATTGCAGAGTTTTTCTTAAAACCAAATTAAATTTTCAGTTGTATTAACAGAAATAAAGTATACAGAGGAGCGGTCTTTCTTGTCCCTGTGCTGGGACAGCCCCAGCACACAGTATCCGTTCTAGGCCTCAGTTTTTGGCAGAGTGTATGAGAAATGGGCTTGCTCAAGGACCATGAACAGGACACTGAAGAACTCCTCTGGTCTACAGGTAGGAAACAGAAGTGGAGG